AGAAAACTGAAAAATGTAAAAGAAAACTAAAAAAATGAAGCTGAAAAGAAATGAAGCAAAAGAAAATAGAAAAAAAAAGAATGAAAAGGAAGAAAAAAGAAACAGAAAAAAAGAAAGAAAAGGAAGAAAAAAGAATTAGAAAATAGAAAAAAAAAAGGAAGAAAAAAAAAATGAAAAAGAAAAGAAAAAAAAAAAAGAAATAAAAAAAAAGAAAAAAAAAAAAGAAAAGAAAAGGAAGAAAAAAAGAAATAGAAAAAGAGAAAGAAAAAAAAAAAAAAAATAGAAAAAGAAAAGGAAGAAAAAAAGAAATAGAAAAAGAGAAAAGGAGGAAAAAAGAAATAGAAAAAGAGAAAGAAAAGGAAGAAAAAAGAATTAGAGAATAGAAAAAGAAAAGGAAGAAAAAAGAAATAGAAAAAGAGAATGAAAAGGAAGAAAAAAGAATTAGAAAATAGAAAAAGAAAAGGAAGAAAAAAGAAATAGAAAAAGAGAAAGAAAAGGAAGAAAAAAGAAATAGAAAAAGAGAAAGAAAAGGAAGAAAAAAGAATTAGAGAATAGAAAAAGAAAAGGAAGAAAAAAGAAATAGAAAAAGAGAAAGAAAAGGAAGAAAAAAGAATTAGAGAATAGAAAAAGAAAAGGAAGAAAAAAGAAATAGAAAAAGAGAATGAAAAGGAAGAAAAAAGAATTAGAAAATAGAAAAAGAAAAGGAAGAAAAAAGAAATAGAAAAAAGAAAAGAAAAGAAGAAAAAAAAAGAAAAAAATAGAAAAAAGAAAAGGAAGAAAAAAGAAATAGAAAAAGAGAATGAAAAGGAAGAAAAAAGAATTAGAAAATAGAAAAAGAAAAGGAAGAAAAAAGAAATAGAAAAAGAGAAAGAAAAGGAAGAAAAAAGAATTAGAAAATAGAAAAAGAAAAGGAAGAAAAAAGAAATAGAAAAAGAGAAAGAAAAGGAAGAAAAAAGAATTAGAAAATAGAAAAAAAAAAAGGAAGAAAAAAAAATAGAAAAAAGAAAAGAAAAGGAAGAAAAAAGAATTAGAAAATAGAAAAAGAAAAGGAAGAAAAAAAAAAGAAAAAGAAGAAAAAAGAAAAAGAATTAGAAAATAGAAAAAGAAAAGGAAGAAAAAAAAAAGAAAAGAAAAGGAAGAAAAAGAATTAGAAAATAGAAAAAAAAGAAAAAGAAATAGAAAAAATAGAGAAAGAAAAGGAAGAAAAAAAAGAAAATAGAAAAGAAAAGGAAAAAAAAAATAGAAAAAGAAAAGAAAAGGAATAAAAAAAAAGAAAAAGAAAAGAAAAGGAAGAAAAAAAAGAAAAAGAGAAAGAAAAAAAGAAAAAGAATTAGAAAATAGAAAAAGAAAAGGAAGAAAAAGAAATAGAAAAAGAAAAGAAAAAGGAAGAAAAAAAAGAAATAGAAAAGAAAAGAAAAGGAAGAAAAAGAATTAGAAAATAGAAAAAAGAAAAGGAAGAAAAAAAGAAATAGAAAAAGAGAATGAAAAGGAAAAAAAGAATTAGAAAATAGAAAAAAAAGGAAGAAAAAAAAATAAAAGAGAAAAAAGGAAGAAAAAAGAAATAGAAAAAGAAAAGGAAAAAAAAAGAATAGAAAAAGAAAAGGAAGAAAAAAGAAATAGAAAAAAGAGAAAGAAAAGGAAGAAAAAGAATTAGAAAATAGAAAAGAAAAGGAAGAAAAAGAAATAGAAAAGAAAAAAAGGAAGAAAAAAGAAAAAAAAGAAAAAAAAGAAAAAAAAGAAAATAGAAAAAGAAAAGGAAGAAAAAAAATGAAAAAGAAAAAAAAGAAAAAGAAAAATAGAAAAAGAAAAAAAAAGAAATAGAAAAGAAAAAAAAAGAAAATAAAATAGAAAAGAAAAGGAAGAAAAAAAGAAAGAAAAAAGAGAATGAAAAGGAAGAAAAAAGAATTAGAAAATAGAAAAGAAAAAAGAAAAATAAAAAAGAAAAGAAAAGGAAAAAAAAAGAATTAGAAAATAGAAAAAGAAAAGGAAGAAAAAAAGAAATAGAAAAAGAAAAGAAAAGGAAAATTAGAAAATAGAAAAGAAAAGGAAGAAAAAAAAAAAAAGGAAGAAAAAGAATTAAAAAGAGAAAAGAAAAGGAAGAAAAAGAAATAGAAAAAGAAAAAAGAAAAAAAGAATTAGAAAATAGAAAAAGAAAAGGAAGAAAAAAAATAGAAAAAGAAAGAAAAGGAAGAAAAAAAATTAGAAAATAGAAAAGGAAGAAAAAAGAAATAGAAAAAAAAAGGAAGAAAAAAGAATTAGAAAATAGAAAAAAAAAATAGAAAAAGAAAAAAAGGAATAAAAAAAAAAAAGGAAAAAAAGGAAAAAAAAATAGAAAAAATAAAGAAAAAAAATAGAAAAAAGAGAAAGAAAAGGAAGCAAAAAGAAATAGAAAAGAAAAGGAAGAAAAAGAAATGAAAAAGAGAAAGAAAAGGAAGCAAAAAGAAATAGAAAAAAGAAAAAGAAAAAAGAAATGGAGGGAAAAAATGATGGCTGGTAACATCATACAAATATAAAGTATTACTGTACATTTAGTGTTTGTATAAATGAAATTTAGGTTAATGTAAAAATTTCCAGCATCTTTTTTAGAAAATATTTTATTCATATAAGTTCATAACATCATTATATAGTACTTAAATTTTTTTTGCTTTGTTTTACCATAACATTTTCTTCCAGATAAATTTTGTATTCCGAAAACATGTTGGAATTACTAACCAGACTCATTGCATAGTGCAAAACAAGATAATCTGAAGACGACAGATCTGGAGAACATGCTGCATGTAGAATTTACCATTCAAGCACTATGATTATCTGCTGCATCACACTTGTAATTTGAGGAAGGGACTTTTTTATGGAACAAAATTACCAGTTAATGTTCTTGCTTAGAAAAAATAAAGGTCTTTTCTGTTCTAGTGTATCATTCAAACAAGCCAATTGCTTACATTTTACTGTAATTCAGGTTTCATTAGTCCTTATGAAAAACGTCCCTTGCAATCTCATCAAACATAGAAATTAACATTTTTTTTCTCCAATAGATTCAGTTAGTGTTAAGAGATTAAATTTATGATTTTCTTTAATTTGGCTTGGTTTGGTTTGTTTTGTTTTACGGCTTATCAACCTCAATGGGCTATTTAATGCCAACAAGATATTTATTGTTGGCAATATTGTTTACCAAAAATGTATTGCTGATAATTTTTTTTTCTTCAAAAAATAATATTTTTTTCCAAAAAATCTATTGCTGGTAATATATTTTTTTTTTTTTTCCAAAAATGCATTGCTGGTAATATTTTTTAATGTATTGCTGGTAATAATTTTTTCTTCAAAAAATATTTTTTTTTTACAAAGTATTTCTGGTATTAAAACCTATTTTTACACTTTCATAATGTAGTGATCCGAGTTTGGGGATTAACTATTTGCCTGTAGCTGGGACCCTAGCAGGTGTTACCACCCTGGATCAGTGTGGACCTGGAAACACCAGCAATTAATAGGTGGTTCCATGCTCCTCAAGATCTCCTAATCAGAGGTCTTGCTGTTGGATGTAGTTTACCATCTTACCCAAGATAATTTTATTTGGATTCTTGTAATAAACCCATTTTTCATCTTATCCAAAAATGTTTTTTTGCTTTTGTCAAGGAAGAGGAATAAAAAACCAAATGTTTAAATATGGATATGTCTCTTTACATGGGAAATACATTTTTGTATCTTCTGAATTTTTAACTAAGTCTTGTAAGCAATATAAACAATAAAGTGTTGAGTAAAATTCAAAAATGATTCTAAGATTTCTTAAACATTGTAGAAGAAATGGCAGTAGGAAGTTTTTATATAAGGAGGGAAGCTGGTGTGAATAGAGCAAATGGTAAAGGGAAAGAGATATACATGTTTATATACACACACACACTACACTCACAAACACCCACAAGCATATAAACGAACACATGCTATTATTTTACATATTATAAAAGAAAATACCCATGCCAAAAGTTGAGGATATTATTTCAGAATATGAATTCTTGTAATGTGGGGATTTTCAGATGCCAACAAAATAAATTCTTAATGTGAGTGAATGAACAAAATTCCTTCATAAATGGTTGGCATTATTGATTTTTGTAACAGCATGCTTTTAGACTGAAATATAATCTTTGTGATAATTTGCTGTTTCCTCTCATTCCAAAAAGACTTACTTTAATATCAAGCATCAGAAAAGCATTGGTGGTTGATTGATAAGATCTTTTACCACATAGCATTGCTAATGGGGAGACAAAAACATATTTAAACATGTACTTGATAATTTATAAAATCCTATTTAAATGTTCTTAGTGTCAGTCTTATATGTGATGCTATTAAATAATAGCATACAATTGACACAAGTAATGCATTCAAGTTATGTATGAAGCATTGATTAGTGATATAATTTTGGGCACTTGAATGTTGTGTACCAATCAAAATTCACAGACATATTGAAGCAATAAAATCTTGCATGCGCTCAAACAATGCATTGGTTGAATAAGGTCTAAAAGGAAAACTTTTGTTTGCTTCATTACAATGCACAAGGCTGCATTGCAGTCAACAAATAGTGCAAATGATAAGAAACCTGAAATTCATAATTGTTTCATATTATTTTAATTAGTCACCATGAAACTTTTGATGTTGAAAGGCAAACATTTTTCATCCAGTGCTAAAGTTGCTGTGTGCAATTAAATAAAAAGTAAATGAGAAAATTTCTTAATTGACAGGATAAAAAGTAGAAATATCATTTGAAAAAATGTGAAACACTAAATGGTGACTATACTGAAAAATAACTGGTGACTATATTGAAAAATAAACTTGTATTTTTGATACCTGTTTTCTAATTCTATCTAGTGTAAAATATTTATAGGATTGGAGACCTTATTTATCAATCAGCCTTCATAATTTTCAAAAGAAAATTTACTTTCTTTTTTATTACAGCTTTCTTATTGTCTTGTGTAAAACTTGTTTTATAGGATTGTAAACTTTATCTCTCAACCTCCATAATTCTTTATGTTTTATGATTGCTTACAGTTTTATTCAGAATAATTGTTTTTTATTTAGTCAATAGTGGTAAACTGAGTAAATAAAGACAAAGCTACATTCTTTCATTTCAGAGATTAATATTTTCAATAATATGGAAATTAAAATAATATCACATTTAGTAAAATTGCAGTTGTAAAAAAATACACAATTGGCAAATCTTTCTTAATAATTTACTTTAATAGTGATATCTTGACTTAAATTTTGAAACATATTCTATTGAAAATTTTTACAAAAATAAAGAAAAAAATTAAAAATAGCAACATGTGAATTGCTCATTATGAAATCACCAACCAAACTGATTTATTAACAATATTAAAATGTTATTTTTTCACACACCATTATTTTTTGAACCATAAAAAGAACAATTGCACCTGCTGCAAAGAGACTTGATGCCTATATGAACCAATCAAATTCTTGATGCCTATATGCACCAACAAATTCTTGATGCCTATATGCACCAATCAAATTCTTGATGTCTATATGCACCAATCAAATTCTTGATGCCTATATGCACCAATCAAAACCTTGATGTCTATAACTGCAAAATGCCTAAACAAAAAACTTGATGTCTATATGCATCAAATTTTATTAGAAAATGAAACAAACAATCAAATTTATTAGAAGAATCAAATCTGATATATAAACAAGTTCTAGTTTTTTTTAATGTTTAAATTTATAGTTATTTTCATCTATAATTTGGTCAACATCTTGTTTTTTCTCACCCAACTATTACTGGATATCATTTATAAATTAAAATATTTCTAAATCCATTAAATTTATACGGTACCAAAAAGTTCTCAACTGAATCCACTTCCCAAAATCTCACCCAATAACCAAACATCAGATTTTGGGAATGAATGACTTCTTAGTCAGACTGAGAACTTTTCACCACCCCTCAAATTATACTTAGTTGTAATACTATATAGTTATGGAAGTAACATAGTTTTAATGCAAATATCATTGAAACTTCTGTCTTTTTGAAGAAAATAATATTTTTTTAATTATTGAACTACAAGCATAATATTCTCGAATACTTTGTTTAATGGATTCATAAAATTGACTAATATTTATTTGTAGATAATATATAAAAGGTGTTCTTAAAAGACAAGTAAAAAAAGATAAGAAACAATGATGAAAAAAGAACAGTATTAAAAATGAAGAAGACACAAAGCTGTAAACCATTCAGTAGAATAATTTCCTATTTAATAATTTCCTATTTAAAGTTCTTATCTGTGTAGAACTTAACAAGCAATTGAGCATTAGATAAAGATGTAGCAGAACCTGAGTTTTAGGTTTCATTCAACAAAGAACCTGGCAGTACACATGTTAACAGTCCATATAACCTTTCAGTAAAAGAAAAGAAAAAAAAAACAAGCAAAGTATGTATAAAGTCATTGTCACTGTCAGCCATGCTGTTGGTAATCCTACACTGAATAACTGGAAGTGTCATTACAATATGGAAGAGTGCAAAAGAAATATTAAATTACCACACACTCCTCTGCTAAATTATCATCATGAATTCAAAAGCAAACACAAAAGCCTAACTTTGTATACAAAAAGAATAATCCAAGTACAATAATACATCACTAAAATCATAAGTTCAGGCAGTTAGATGGCTTGTGTATATGTTCAGATCAGTGTAATGGAGCCAGGTTATCAAAAAATTATTCTCTCTCATGCAAGAAATCAATGACTCAGCCACAGGAGCAATAGGTACAGCTTCATTCTGTACTTTGGTTGAAATCTTCATCATGGCTGATACTGTTTATCTGATATACTCAGGTTGTCAGGAGTTAACACTTGGACATGAATTTCAGACACTCTACTTTTATAAATGACCTGGTGGAACCAAATCTCAGAGTAACACATGTTGTCTCTTTGTTATATATATATATATATATATATATATATATATATATATATATATATATAGAGAGAGAGAGAGAGAGAGAGAGAGAGAGAGAGACAGGCAGTCAACAATGAAAACAACAATTTTTTTTTTTTTTTAAAATTATCTGATTGGACAAAACTAGCTCTGGATTAAAAACCTGGTTAGATGGAATTATAAAAGCCATTTTTCTAGTCTTTCAAGAGTTTTTTTTTAAAAGATTTTTACACTAATTTACTCTAGCTGTGCATTATTTCTGTACTGTAATACTTGCTATGATTAATCATAAAATAGTTTTGCATCAAGAAATTCTGCTTCTTCAACAACTGGGTCATATTTTTATTTTCTGATATGATGCCGCAAAAGGACAGTTTCAGATGAGGAGACCCATGTTGGAATAGAGCATCAGCACGTGGAATTAAATATTAGTAGCAGTCAACAGCAGAGTGAATACAGAATGCAATGCATCCTGTGGAACTAACAGTCATATGCAAGCATTGCAAATTGAGTACCTGTCATATAATTCTATTATACTGTTTAGCGTTCATACTATCCATTATATT